TTTTTAACCAATTCAAATTCATAATATTTCGGTAAATTTTTATGTTTCAAATAACATGATTTAGATACTTGGGCCGTAAGGCGTGAGGTAATAACTCAATAATAATATGTTGATGCAACTTAAGCCGGCGGTGATGAGACTAAGGAGTAGTGACCAGTGGTACGGAGAAGTGAAATAACCACTAACCACTAACCTTAACCCAACCTACAAAATGCTAATAGCCATAGTTGCCGGTGCTTAAGATCAATAATATTTTTAAAAAAATACCTTTTTAAAATTATAAATTATAATACATAGGAACCGTGTATTTATATTATGTAATAATATGTAAAAAATTGATGATTTGAAAAATAATAAATTATTCATAAAATATATAAGCTGTACTTACTTAAATAATTTTTTTTAAACCAAAAATAATTGTATATATTTGTTATTTTTGGATAAATCGAATTTTTTGCAGGAATTTCAACTTTGAATTAACTTAGTTTGACTGTATATTAACAAGTAAATCCCACAAACTGAGAACCTCATATCCAAAATAATATTTATGTGACAAGAATGGTGTGACCTATACAAAAATATTCATACCGACAGAAAAAAAATGTATTCTAGAGAAAAAAATTATCCAATTCAATACACCGTAAAAATAAATAAAACAATTTATGAATAAGTATAATATTTTGAGAGTTTGCGGTTTTCTTTCATTAAAACAGTTACAGTAATAGATTCTAAAGATACATTTAAATTAATATTTATGTGTCATAAATTTTAAATAATCCTCTTTAATATATAGCTAGCGACCCTACCTAGGTATGACTTCCATTTCTATTGTCTTTATAACTAAATACCTTCTAAACAAAACAAATATATAAATATAACTTCAAATGTTTGTTCTTATATTGCATAATTCTTTTTTTTTTATTTGCAAATTAAGAATTTTTTTTATGATTTATGATAATAAAACATAACTAAAAAAAATACACATAATATAATCGTACTGCGCTATGAAATGCATATCTTCTAACAATATACAATGTGTAACACTAATATAAGTGACTTAAATAGATAAGTAATAGCTTAATGATTATTGACCAAGCCATAACTTAATGTTCAAGTTTTTCTTAAATCGATTTTATGTGAAACTTACATCTATTCTAAACAATAAATCATTTATATATAATGCCAAATTATAATATGTATAAATATTTGTAATTTTACATGTATGTATACATTTCTGTTTTAAATGAAAACAAATAAATAATAAATAAAAAATAAATACAATTTTATAAAAATAAATTTATCTATACACTTTTTCTGTTAATATTTTGAAAATAAAAATATATCGTGAAATTGTACACATTTTATTATCATTAACATTTGAAGCCCATATCATAATATAAATAATTTCGTTATTCCTAGAAATCGATCTAAAACTTAGAAATGTATAATAATATAATTAAAAAAACAAAAATTAAGAAGTAGCAATGTAAAATATCACCATGCATTTATAAAGTACGTAGTTCATTCATATCTATATAAGTGCGTATATCAACAATATGCTTAAATAAGATATTTTTTTCTGTATCTGGATTTTGTTGTTAAAAACTTTTGAAACTCTTTGTTTGAAAAAAACAAAATAATCTTAAAGTTTTTCATTAAAAGTAGTAAATCGTTTTTTAACTTTAATGCTAACATTGTAAGTCATATAACCCAAAATTTTAGTATGTCATAAAAGTAAAGCTTTTGCTTCTGTGTACTTCATATTTAGACGAAATTAGAAAACATATTTTGTAGGTATACCTAGCAGAAATGCAGAATCTGAAAGACACAAAAACAAAAATCAATACACCATGAAATATAATTATTGTTTTATGTAATATTGTAACACATTATAGCAATGGCCCTTAATAAACGTGAGGTAATATGAATAATCTAACCTTGGCGCTTAAGTTAAGCACACTTAACGTTGGTAAATCCCAAAGGATAATCACCTGGGATTTTCAGTTATATTTAACTTCCACATCACCATTAATATAAACACTTGAAAACGGAAAGTAAAATATTAAATATAAAACGAATTCATTTCTAACGCTAAAATTATTACGATGTGCAATTAATACTATAGCTTATAATTTTCATTATAGTTTGCACTTAGGTATATTCAAATTGGTATCGAGAACCATCTGGAATATATTATTAAAAAAAAAATAATATGCACTCCATAAAAGGTGAATTACTTTTGACTGAAGGTTATAATGCATAATACTCTATTTATATTAATATGTTTATATTGTATAAAATAGGACCAGCAAAAAAGGCTAAAAAACATAGTACTATAGTTGTGAGGACAAGATGTAAATAATAGAAGCCGGGAAAAATCTGCCGTTGTCAAAAAAAAAATTTCTAAGTTAAGTTTCTTTTGGAACCACGCGATTTATAACACTTTCTAAAACAATTTTAGTATTGTCCTTCCAACATTTTTTGTACTGTTAGTTTATTTCTTCAAAACTAAAACCAGAAATAGAACTTTTTGAAATAATAATCAAGAAATTAGAAAAGACAAAATTAAAATTACCTTAAGAAACGAAAATTCTATATAATATAGTTATCAGAATATCGTCTGAATCTTCTTAGTATGCAGCAATCCAATACTGCTTATATTACATTTAGGCTAACCAGCGTCCGGCAATATGATTTCTGTTTTTAGAAATTATGTTAAATTAAAGTTTATTAGAAATGCATTTTTTAAAAACAATTTTAAATACCAAGATATTATATAATAATAATGTATTAGATTTACAATGATTATAATTTATAATATATAGGTACTATACGGTTATTAGTATGAATAATGAATATATATAAATTTTTTTTGGCATTTCTCAAGAACTTTTTTTTTGTAATTAAAGTAGTTGTGAGTACTCATAAAGTTTCACGTAGTGCTTTAAGGGTTTAAATTATGTTGTTTTTAAAAGGCTATTTTCCGATGTTCATAAAATGGTTTCTCTGAGAGAAGGTATGTAGTGAAAACCACCGACAACGGTTCAAGAAATTTATAGAGATATCAGCAAGTACAATTTTCACCAATCTTGGTTCAGAATCATTTTTTTTATGCGATTTTCTCTATTGCTTTAAAATGTTATACCACAAATTATAAAACACTATCTTGCACTTAGATAATCGAAGATAAATTGAAGACGATGGGCCAGTTTTTGTATTCTGTACGGATATCTACTTTTTAATAAGTTTCTACTTTCAATTAGCTAAGTTCGTGATGGCGTAGGATAGCAGTGAATTTGATTAGAAATTTATGTTTGACAATATTGTATATATATTTTTAGTACCATTTAAAAAATTGTTTTATAAGATCTACATCGTGTTTTTAAATTTGTTAAATCACTTTATTTAGTTCTAATAGACAGTAATTTTAATATTTATTTATATTTAAATAAACAATATCAAATAAAAAAATAATTTACTTTATTGATTATGATGTATGAATATTTTTTTAAACATTAGTATTAACATGAACTATTATGACAATATAGTTATTGGAAAAGGTAACAATATACTATATTGATAGAATTTAATAAGTGGAAATTAGTTTATTTTTTTGACAACATACAGTTATTTACCGTATATTTTATTATTATATTATTATACAAGATACCTTATATTCTACAATTTATCCATTTAAAAACCTCATTATTATTGTTTATGTTATTTGATAGCATATGTATAATAAGCAGAAATTATTTTTTAATAATGTTCAGTTATTTAGTTGTTTGTGATATTTATGCGTATATTCTACAATTTATCCATTTATAAAGCTCATTATTATCATTTATGTTGTGATTTTATTAGTATGCTAAATATCTTTAGAATTTAACAACAACAATGGCGTATAAATGTATTTATTCAGCCTAAGGTAAGTTTGTATTTGACATTTGAATATTCATTATTTATATAGTCTTCATTAATTCTTACTTATAAACCCAACTGATGAATTCAACATTAAATTGTATTATTTTTGTTTCATTACATAATATGAGTATACTGAGTGTATCACCATGTTTGTTCTAATAGTACACATTCAATGGTAAATATACCATTATATATACTCCTCTACCCATCTCTTGCCTAAGTAATAAAGCTTATACAACTATTTGGGTATTTTATGAATTTTAATAATTTATTCAATTTTTAAAATATTTACATAAATTAGTTTTATAAAATATAAATTACTATGTTAGAATTTTAACTAACTCTCTAACAACGAAATGTAATTTGTTTATTTTAACGTCGGAAGTTTGGATAAGCCAAAAAATACTATACACTATATTAATAATTTTGGAATATAATAGGTAAGTATCAAAAATAGTTTAAACAAAAGTTATTGACGTGCACAAACATTGTGTGACACTCTGGCACTCTGTACCTATATATTATAGTCAATAAATTGATTACATCTTAATATATAGGTATAGGTTAAATGGCTTTTCTAATATTTTTGTATTTATAGTATATTTTTTGATTAAGCCCAAATTCAATAAAACATAGTGTTTGTACATTTTTTATAAAAATCTAATGTAGATAATTTATAAATTTATTTTGTTTCATGTGTGTTTATTTGTTTATTTTAAGCCCTCAAGTATATAGTTATGTATGTTTAAGCTTTATGTGAATTGCGAAAAACTATAGATATCATACGTATAGAAAAATAGCAACAATTCCTACTTAAAAAGTATTAAATTTAACGGTACCTAATGAAAAAAATAAAAACTTTAAACTATAAAATATAAGTTTCAATTTTTGAGTAGTATACAATTTCGTATTCCAAATGGACTTATTGTATATTTCAATTTGTTTAAAATTGAAATAGAAATTGATGTTTGATTCAGATTGCCTAACAATAATATAAGAAAATAAACTAGGTAGGTATAGGTATATAATGTTAGAATGCAGTGGTAATTTTTTTCTGTAAACATTCAGTATTACTATTACCTGATACCGCCTCGGCTTGTGTCGTAATTTAGGCTTGTCGTCTCGTGACGCCATACAATGAATTGACTTGGTTGGGGTACTTTGGTTATATAGCATTTTAGCTCTATAGTGCTACCCACGTAGTAGAATTTGTCTTTCACTTGTACGCCCCTTTCATCTGTTATTTCCAATTGAGGCACTATAAGAAAAACAAAAATACAATTCTCTTTAAAAATATTTATAGTATATTAAATGGTTTTCAGAAACGTTGTATTGGTATATTGCGGTTCAACCAAACACAAAATATAAATAGGTTCAAGTTCTAGTATAGTGCATATTGTAGTAAATAATTATATTAGGTATGCGCATCACAGTGGACAGTGTTCTTTTATGTATAATATAATATGTAATTATACTCAAAATGTTTAAAATTAATTTTAAAAAAAAGTGTAAATATGTTATTCGTCATTAACTTTCGAAAATATAATTATAAATTATATTTGTATTCGGTGATCATAATATTATGCAAAAATAAAGGGTTTTTAATTTATTAAACTGAATAAGACTATTAAAATATCATGATTGATTTAAATTAAAATTCTTGTATAATGTTAGGTAGGTACTTAAATAAACTGTTTTAATAATTTATTTACAAGCGTGATAGTAGATATCAATATATCATTAATTTGATACTGTGTAAAATATTGTATTTGTTTCATAATATTCATTTAAATAGTTTTTTTTCTCTAGTTTTATGTTTATTTTATACATTTTGGGCTAACTAGGTCTTCCACCGCGCCTTCACTCAAATACCTATGGATAGAATTTTATAGTTTTATTTATTGGCCAGCAGTTGATAATTATAATAATAATATATTATTATTCTGTTGACCCAGAAGGACAAGATGGACATTAAGTCTCGACATTTTATATGCGTTTTAAGGTGAAACTACGGCACACTTTGACACATTTCAACAGAAATCAACGAGTAAAATAAAATAAAATATTTGGAAGAGATGTATAGAGTAAAAAAAACATGCTAAAAATAGGAATGTTCGAAGAAGGAAATCGACGATGACATTGAAATAAGAGTCGATAATACACAAATAGTAACAATCATACAGTACAACAATCTAAAAAGCTAAAAAACATGTAATTTAGTAATTAATCAAACATTCCACTATGATCCTACTATTTATGATTATGATTATCGGATTTCGATTGGTCCCATTAATGATGAATGTATTTATAATGTATTCATTGCCAAGCATTCAAATTTAAAGATGAGTCAATGGCAAGTGTTGTGGAAATGGAAAAATAAAATTACCACCTTTGAACAGTCCGATAGAACCTTTACCACTTTTTGTGGTAAAAGCAAAACACTTTTTGAACAATATCAGGAAATATAATTCAAGTCTTAATATGATTTTATTTGGTACAAATAGAAAACAATTACCAGGATATCAGACAACGTTCAAAATTCAAGGAAAATGTAAACATTCAAGGTAAACATGCTCAGTTATTCCAGATGTCAATCCTGATATTATAAAATTATTTCATAAAGCCTAAATAAAATTCTAACAGGTGAACATGAACACTCTAATACTCAGTTTTAGTTCACGGACAAATCGGCGTCAGTGAATCTAACTTTATGAAATAATTCGGCCTAGTTGGTCTGCAAGTCGCGGTTTGCAATTACAAGTTAGTCCCTAAATGCTTCATAATAATATTTAAAGTTTAATATCAATTAAAAATATTACAATAGTAGTAACAATTAGTAGTATGATATTTTCCATCCTCATAACAGAATGGTATTATAATACTATCATGGTAGACATGGTTATTTGTGCGACCTAAGACACAGTTATTTGTAGCAAACCACAAATTTACCCAATAATATGGTTATACAATATTATATTAGTTATACTAACCTATAATAGCTAGATAAACAGTGAATGCGATTGGTGGATGAGTTGATACCTGGCACTCATAATGACCTCCATCTCTTTCATTCAGATAAGATATACGGAGTTGCCAATCGTTTGGATCTTTAAATAAAAGCTCGTAACGCTGATCTGTACTGTATACGTGGTGGCCAAATGAAAGTAGTTGCATCTTATCACCTGCCCTTCGAACCCATGACACCTGTAAAAAAGAAAAATAATATAAAATTGCCGTGCTCGAAATTGAAAACTTCCCTAACAGAACCGTTTAAAATTATTTGTTAATAATTGTAAATGAACCTAAATACTTTAAGTTATGACTTATAAGAAACCTCACTGGGTCAAGTAGGAAATTGGCACTTATGAGAAAAACCCGATCATTTTATAACGTTTGTACAAAATATAAAACATTTTTCAGATTAAATGATAATATATTTATTATTTTAATTTAGGTACATATTTAGGCATCTGATTACTACAAAAATTATTATAAAAAAATTTAAAATCAATCACAATGATTTTGATACTGCTTCATATTTTGCACCTTAGGTTTACTTTTACCAAAGTATATCCTCTGTTTTATGAATTGAATGTCAATATTTCATAATAACCAAGGAAATTTTAAAGTTTTGTAAAATTAAGACCAGTTTATCTTATTAGTAATAAGTAGAAAACTTTTTATGTTTAATTATGATGTTCACAGTCAAAATATTTGGTTCATAGAACTCTCGTTTACTTAGAAATGTAAATCAATAAATATGTTAATTTTAAAAGTAATAAGTAATAGTAATTATCTTTTTATTTTATTTATTCTGAAACCATTTTTTATTACATAGTATAACCCCCCCTCCTCCTACTGAAAATATCTTGATAAATATTCATGTTATAATCTGTGATTTATTAATATTAAACACTCATTATTTCAAAACTATTGTAGGTATATAAACTTTTTGAAAACATTTTTTACATACATAATTTAAGGTTATTATAACCCAAAATTATCGAAAAAATAATATACTATTTGTTAAAATTATAAATTTACATTTTAGATTTATATTTATGTTTACTTTTTGAATGTCAACATTTGAAACTTTATATTGTGATCAAAAATATCATAATAAAAATTTGTCATCATCTACAACCGGTCATAATATTAACTATATGTACTGATTGGTATTCAATGATAAAATAAAGAAATTGTTTTGTGCTAAATAAATAGGTAATTATGTATTTTTCCATGGTTATAATAGTTATGTTATTACTTATTGCCTTTTGTAAGTTTCTGACTGAGCAAACCTTATAAAATAAAAACCATTTTGATTTATTTTAGAATTACTAGAGCGTTTGCATATTAATTTGAATAAAAAAAACTCACATTTCTGAAAAATTATAACAAATCAAAAAAAAAAAAAAGGTGGGCAAGTGGGTGTCGCTCTGCTGTACAGTAGGTTACAAGTGGGTCACTGTATATTGGATGATATTAAATTTGAATTCAACGATATAATATCATTGTATAAGAAAAACGATTCTGAGTGGAGACGGTATGTCAGTTTATGTATAAGACATATTATATACATGTATATGGTATTAAACAAAAAATTGACCTATAATAGGAATAGGCACCTATAATAAATTCCAAATTAATCATATCACAATATCCATTAGGTACTGGTAACGCGTTATACATCAACAAAAACCGTGATACTATCATAGATATATAATAGTGCACTTTAGAAGTTTCAAGTACCCACGAATAATATTATTCAATCACAACAAAATAACTAAAATAGTTATTCTAGGTTTTTTAATATGTAATTTCGTCCAAATTTGAATTTAAATTGTCTGTAAAAAATAACTGTGTTCATATATTTTTTAGATTTTTTGGTTACAGAATGAACTATTTACGAGAACCTTTGTGTTGAATTTGCAATCCTTAGCTATAAAAACAGAACATTTTATAATTTATTAATTACAATGATTGATAATTTTCGAGATTTTAATAAATTTTGTCAAAATTCCAACTTTAAATGCTTATAAAAAAAAATCGTGCCTATGTATTTTTAATATTTTTCAACTGATATTGTAACAATATATCAGGAGCCTTGTATTAAATTTTTACACTTTTTGGCCCAACAGATAAAACTTTATTGATATTTATAGAAAAAAAAACTAAAAAAAATTGAAAGCTGTAAATGTCCATAAACAGCTCAAAAAGAGTCAAAATATTTTCAAAATTGTATGGTGTATAGAAAATGCTAATATAAACATTCAGTGAAATTATCATTATTCGTTTTTGAATTACAACAAAATAAGGAAATCGCTACATGAGAAATCGAGTGAACATCCAATGTTGTAAAAATTTGAAGTTCAAACGCTCATAAAAATTTAATTTGACTTTCCGGTAGAGATTTTTTTATTGATAAAGGTAGACAAACTTATGAGTAATCTTGTATTACATTTTCAAATCTTAGATATAAAAAGAAACATTTTTACGAATTCTTAACTCAAAATAATTCGCTAATTTTCGTGATTTTTCCATATTTTGTCAATTTTTGAACATTAAATGCTTATAAAAAAAAACTGTAACTAAGGATTTTTAATATTTTTCATCTGCCTTTGAAACAATATATTAGGAGCCTTCTATTAAATTTTCAAGCTTTTGCAACCAACAAATAAAATGTTATTGATATTTTTAGAAAAAAAACTAAAAAAAATGGAAAATGAAAATGTCCCTAAACAGTTCCAAATAAATCAAAATATTTTGAAAATGTTATCGTGTATAGAAAATGCAAATATAAACAACCAGTGAAAATTTCATGTATATACGTTCATTTGTTTTAAAGTTACACCAATAACCAAAATCGATTTTTTGGAAAACCAATTTGCGTAAAAATTCCCGTTTTTCCTTAATTTTTATGTTGTTTTTTCCCGGCGCTTGTGAAAACTACTGGGAAATTTATACTTTTGACCCCCCAAAGTACCAACTAGATTCACTTTCCTATCAGAAAAGCTACTGATGAAGAAAATCCAAGCAATTTTACTGTCCTAAAACGTGATGACAGACACAAAAAAAAAAAAAATAAAAATATAAAAAAAAACACACATCATTGTAAAACCAATACATTCATCGCTCCACTCAGAATCTAAAAAATATATATATGAATGAATGCAATGTACACTACGTTAACACTTTTTAAATTAAAACTTGAATGAAAAAAAAAAATTGTACACAATAGAGACCATAAAATGATTTACATATTCGTATTCAACGAACACATTTTATTTCTCGTCTATAAATGTACCTATTACCAATATGGGTTATTCAGTGGCGTCATTTGGTCATTCGGAGTCAAAACGGGCATTTCATTCTGTCTTAGTTTAAAAGCAGCCCTTGGGCTAGTTGTTGGTAAAAAATTTGATAATTTTTAAGGTTTTGAGAAATTGTAATATTATTGAAGAGAAATTATTGCCACGATAATAATTAGTATTTTAGTAGGGGTTTTTCTTTTTTCACAATTGGAATATATTATATAATATAGACGCGTAACCTGGGAGTTTATGTAGATAAGCGATGTGTAAAAGAACATGGTAGGTACCAGCCTAGCAAATGTATTTGTATAGGAAATAGGTAGTGCCAGCTATTGTTGTTTATTATTTTTCTCGTGTTGAACGGAAATTCGCTGGTCTATTATAAAAGTACAAAGGTAATAGGTATTCACAAGTATATGTTGTATATGGATTGTGGGCATGTACAATACTATCTTAAAGAAATAAAATTTGATTTCTAAAATGTATTATTTTCATTCCAACACAACAGTATAATATTGTATCAACAAAACAACGACTATTAAATTTATACTTGTTTTCTAAATTACATCTGATAGTATTTAATATACTTTTTACTATTTTGGTTACATTTAACTATTCGAGTATCTACCTATAGTCGTGTTAAGAGTTTATTGTAATTTAGTCTGTATAAATATGTTTTCTAAAACCACACACTGAGGTTGGTATTATTACATATATATTGATTGCCACGTTTGCAATAAAATTGGGCTATTTTTCCTATGCTAATACTTATAAAATAAGGTAAGGTATGAATTGTTTGAAGATATTATTTATTTTGCTGTTATTTGAGCTGACCAAAACTTTTGCCCTCCTCCTATTAACAACTGAAATGACACTAGGGAGTTTGGTAAAAAACATATAACATACATTATACAGTATATTTTATTGTAGAATATTATATTTCACCATGCGTATTGAATGCTAATATGATATCACCGTAATTCATGGGAATAGAATAAAGCTGAATATTTTTAAATTTAACTAAATTGATTGAGTAGAGAATACAGATATATTTTATAATAATATATTACCTTACTGTATACTAAATTAAGTCTATTGGTTCGTGAATATAATACATATATATATATATATTGTTTCTATCAATTAACTGGAAAATAATTTAGATACATTGGGAACACTTTCATATGTTGTGTGCTTTAAACTTAGCACATGCTGTAAATATTTATTTATGTACATGAAAAAACCATACCCATACTTATTATGTTAAAAAAATACTAACAAATAACTAAAACGAAAAATTACATTTTAAAAAACGTGGTATTGTTGAAAAAAAGAAGTAGAGCTATGTTAATAGGTACGTTATATAATTTGAACTATTTTATTTTATTTATCCAATTTTATAATATAATAATTATTAGTTATATTGTCTGGAAACAACTAAATTATGAGAAAGGAGTGTAATATAATTAATAATCTATGAGTACCTACATCAGACTTTAGTGCATAATGATTTATAATGCAATTTAATTGGAGATTATACAAACTTTGTGTAGCACACATTATAATGATTAACTTTCATTTAACACTTCATCAATCATTGTTTACATACTAAAAATACTATGTTATTTAAAAAATAACATTATCAAAAAAGAAAGGTTTAATTTTGTGATTTTATGCATTTTTTTGTTGTTATTATTATTTTATAATAATGGCTTAACCACTGTGTTCACTTTACTTAAAAGTTTTTTTTTGTAAAGTAGACATTTATGAATAAAAAAGAAGTATTAATTTATTAGAACATAAGCGCATATTAAAAAGTGACTTTAATATTATTAATGATTTACCAAAAAGCATAGATAATAATACATTTAATATACTCTGGAAAAAATGTTT